TCTACAAACACGGTGTTTTCAACTCGTGGCCTTGGAAATTGTAGCCCAACCAAAATTCCTCAAACAAGTTTTCGAAATATGTTCATTGTAAGCATAAACTGTTCTGAACTATTTGGCTTGCAAAGTTGTTCCCCTAATGACTTTGCAAGGGGGCGAAGGGTCGATATTTCGCACCTCACGAAAATGGACCACGCCAATCCTCCCGGACACCCGCCCCAACAACCCCGAGACCCAACCAAGCCTGCTTGGTCGTGCGCAGCGGTGCTCAAGCGTGCTCAGCTGTGCCCGAGCTGCTCAACCCGTGCTCAGCTGCTTAGCCGTGCTCAGCGGTGCTCAGCTGCTCAGCCGGGCTTCGCCGTTTTCAGCTGCTCAGCCGTGCTCAGCCGTGCTCAGCCGGCACGATTTTACGACGAACATTCCTGCACCCTCCTTACACACACACACATGCGGATGTAGATGCATGCACGCATGCATATGCTTACAAAAATGCATACGAATACACACATGTACTTCGACATGCACATACAGGCATGCACGCATACATGCATACATGTCACGAAAGCCAGCTCCTTGGAGCTAGGCTGAAGTTTTCGTTCACCTCAGCTTGCTGAGAAGGGGCGGTCGATCAGCTTGAGTTAGGCATTGGGGCCTGGATTCCCACTGGTTGTGAGGGGAGCCGCCCCCATCCCCTTGTTTGTCAGAGATGTTGCCCTTTGCGGGGCGAGGGCGCCCCAAAGGGGCTGATGTATCAGGCACACCCAGCTCGAATCCACCCTGGACCACCTCCGCTGGGGGTAGTCGATTGTTCTATTTCCATTGGCTCGTTCGGTGTCACTAGACGTTTGAACTTTGATTCGCAGACCAACTAATCAACGCCATCCATCCACGGTAAAGCAAAAACGAGTCGCACAAATCTCACACATGATTCTGTGTGTAGACGTGGTATAAACAGTCAGCTCTAGTTGCTCAATGTGGAACGCAGGAATCCTAAGCGATAACCCCACCATCTTTCATCGAGAGACCCCGCACAACTGTTCAAGCACTGACGCTTTTACCCACTACGCGCTTCCCGAAAGATTAAAAATGAACAATGCGCTTTGTTCGTGTAGGCCAGAACTGACCAAGGACACGCCGATACCTTGCTACACGCTAGCTCTCGTTCCCTGCTTCTTAAGTTAACAAGACGCTTGTGCCTAATTACGCATGCGCATGCGCATGTGCGTATGTACGTACGATGCCTTCACAGATACCCACACACATACATGCATGCAAAGTGCACGCAGGCCTCCATTCTTCCACCAATCCCTGCATACACACACACTCTCCTGCTTTCTCGAGTCCTGCAGCCACCACAGTTGTTTTATGTTGGTCACCCCCTGTCAAGTTGAGAGAGGGGTGATTAGTCGGTATTAGTTGGTTTTCCCAAACAATGTTTGTTGATCTTTCTCGTAAGCATGACTTTCACTTGCTGATTGTTGCGCTTTTCACACATGTATCTGCAGTGAAGGAAGCATGAGCCGTGCGGCATGGCATTGGTTGCACGAGGCGAACAGAGAAAAACAACCAAATTGTTGGACAAATCTACGCCACGGTGCATGGGAGAGTCTGCGCTTGATTGGTCGCGTCGCATCACTTTCGGCCATTGTTACGAACTAGACAGGTTGTGGCATTTTAGGCCTTCCTCATGAGTACGCTCAGTGACGTGCAAGGGAATTCAAACGAGGCTCACACAGCAGCTGTCAGCTACCATATGTTGGTCCAAACGAGAAGAAAGTCAACTCCAAGGGCTGCTTTTCGAATGGCATCAAGGAAGTGCCTAGCTAAAACCGTTTTTGCCATGATACTGGGCTACGGTTCGGGGCTTGTTGCTTGTACTTGGTGGAGTAATGGGGATGCCAGACTGGCAGGATTCGGGGCTTTGCTTTGCTGGCGTAAGTCGCCTGCTGTCGTGCCGTGATTCAGGTTGGTTTGTTTGTTAGATCTCAACCATGAATCGGCCCCGACTCGTTAGATGCCATGTGGCCTCAAAATTCGCACTCTTGCAGAGGCATTGGAGCAGTATGTCAAGGCGGGGGCGTTTGCATATCGTGTTAGGTTTCCTTGTGTTATTTGTTGCTCAACGGTATCGGACATAGGCAACGGCTCAATGGTTTAGATTCTGAAGTGCGAACACGGTTTCCATTCTCGCACCGATAGTTCCCTGAAGCCTGCTTCTTCTTCAGGGGCCCAGGGCCTGTTGAAACCGCTTGCCCCATCTACCCCGTTGCCTTACAAGTTCAGCCTGACCAAGGAGATGCGCCCAGAAACATGATTGTTCAGGTCAACACATGCCCCCTAAAGCGGGTGTTTGGACTAGGGGGTCTTCTTTTTGCAGCCGGTACTAGTAAGAATGATGTTGTTTTGTTGAGTGCTCTCGGTGCGCCAAGCCACGAAGTGGCCTGAAGTGATACACGGTTCTCACAGCCGTACCCAGTCATGCTTGCCCCAGAGTGACTTCATGTCAAGCCCCTGCCAATTCAAGGCTTGGTGTTGATTTTGGATGGAAGACTTGTTCAGTGCATCCCCCCTGGTAGCATTTGGCATCAGTAGCCAATGGATGCCAATGGGTGAGGGGCATTCATCAAACATTGAAATGTAATTAGCCACGCTCGCTGCTTCACACTGCGATCATCTTCAGAAACATTGTTTTCTAGCGGGTCCAACACAGGGCCTCAAAGATAGAAATGTGTCCCCTGTGAGTATGGGCGCCCTTCCGCGCCATTCCGCAAAACAACCAGGTCCACGAATACTAAGCATAGGTCTCGCATGGCCGCCCGACTCTGGCTTGGGCATCCCAAACTTCAGGATGGTGAAGGTTGTTGATCGTTGACTTGGTTCAGCCGGCCAAAGGTGTAAGCTAGGTTTTCCGCCAGGTTGCCAGGAAACCTTACAGGTTGGCAGATGGTGTTTCGGCTTGGGGAAGGCATTGATGCGTGCTTTTGCCATCCCTGTGCCATAGGAACAGGTAGCCACATTTGCCTCACTTGCCGACCGGCTTGACTTCCGCCATCCCCATGGTATCTTCTTCTGTTTGCTCGGCTTCTGCAGGCTCCGGCTCTCCAGCGCCTTGCTGTTGCTGGGATGGCTTCACATGGCGGGGCGCTTCCTAAACGCCAACAAACCAACCACTTTCGGTCCGAGTCTTTGAGACCCTAGATCCCCTCCCGATTCGTGTCTGAAACGGGTCCGGTTTTTTTTCCAGGATCTGAAGCGTGACAGCGGGCAGAAGGCCCAGACCATGCTGGCAGAACTGCCGAAGGCCGGCTCCGGTGCTGCGCTGCAGGATTTTCGTGAGACCCTTGCAAGCCGAAGTTTGAAGGTTTTAGCAACCTAATGGTTGATTCCTTTTCCATTCTTTCTAAGCATCGTTCTTTTCGCAAACCGGCCGCGTTCTAGAATGAGGGATCCCTGCAAGGAATGGGGGAGATAGCACTAGTACAAGTCATCTGTGTGGTTCCATGGACAGGGCCCCAGTGGTTTGATTGCGCCGGGTTGCTGGTGTTTGTTGAGCGTCTTGCTAGCTCAAGGAGTCACTCACACTCTTCGGACCCCTGCAAAAGAAATGCAAAACCAAAGTGCAGGGGTTAGTTGTCTTTATGATGCCGAGGCAGCCGTTAGAGTGAGAGCTCAAGGGAGAGTACCTGGTCAAAAGAGGCTGCCCAGCATTCCCTTGGATGCGATTGCTCTGGCAGCTCCCATGAGTTGATGCTCCCATTGCCCATTTGGGCTGATGCGGTTCTGAACCAGTTCCTTCTGATGCTTTGCACGGCCAGAACGGACCCAGTCGCTTGAAGTGTGGAAGCCATGCGCTGTACCAGGCAGCGAGTTTGATTGGACTCCTTGTGTTGACAAGCTGCCCTGTCAGTTTGATACATGAAAACCGCGGCTTCAGACAGGTGGACCCTAACCCCCCAAAATCCTCCTGCCAAGTGGTCACACCAACAAGCCAACAAGCACGTTTTTTCCTGCTCCAAGGCTCCACGAAGAACCGAAGGCCAAGGACCGAAATCGCTAGCTCATGTGAGGCGCACAAGGCGCTGACCTCTGCAGAGAAAACCCGGCTGTTGGTGCCTGGTGCTGAGTGCCCGACGTTCTCTCCTTTTGTTTTGTTTTTCGGAGGGTCGCATTTGTGGGGTTGGCTTCAAAGGGAAGCAAGATAATGCCACCCGTTGTGGGGGTCCCCCTATTTTGACATTCCCAATTGATCCCAAAAACACATCAAGATCGGGTACCGCCAAGTTCCTGCAGATCTCTGGCGAATGTTTGATGTCTGCCTGCAGCGCTAAGACCCATGCAAACAATCCAAGAGCAGGGGGAAGACCTTGGACGGGCACCACCGTTTGACCCAGAGATGCACCTTGAAACACAAATCCACGCCATCTCCTGTCATACAGGCGGGTGACGTTGGGCGCACGCACGCAGACACGACAAAACACCTGCTGGAAGAGTTGGCATCTATTGAAGTTGCAGGCTCCATGACGTAAAAAAAACACCGCAAATTCGGAAATCCGCATTGCAGAGATGGGCAAGCCAGCAAGTATGTTCAGATTTCTGCTGGATAGCATATACACTAGCCGACAAAAGGCACTCCCAAAGCAGAAGCAGGTTGCAAGCTATGCCGAGGCGCTACCTTCCAGAGGAAGACGAGGCGCCCAAAAAGCTTCGCAAGAACAGCAGGAACCTCAGCTTACAGGGCACGGTTGGCATGATATCATGGTGGGCTGGTTGCACACCCGAGCCAAGCATGATGCAGGATCTGTTGGCTGCAGCACTTAGCCTGCTGATTTGCTGGGGGGCCTGCAGCGCGTACTGGAGAGGGACTGATGCGCCTACTTACATGGTCCAGATAACAGCACGGGACAAACGCAATAAGCGCGAAGACCTACACTGGGTGATGGCATTGCCTTTGAGGTTGTAGTAGCTTGCTTAAAGCTTGAGCTGGCAGGGTGCTGGGACGGCAAATGCGCGGGGCTTTTCTGCCACAAGGAGGCTGTAACCAACCAATCAATGGGACAAAAAGCTTTTCTTGGGTACCTTGTTGTGGTTCCAAGAGAAACCAAAAAAGGAAACCGAGGTTTCGTATTCACTCAACGCTTGTCTTGGGTACCCTTTTTGGTTCAAAGAGAAACCAACAGGAAACCAAGGTTCCTTATTTTGTCACCTCAAATTTCTGTGGAAACCAATCACTTGGGCAAGTTCCTTATTTTGACCCCCAACTCCCCGAGGCCACAAGTGGCTCTGGCGGTTCCTGCGGCGCCGCGACTTCAAGCGCTTCGAGGCGACCTTGGAAGCCCTGCGCCTGGGCGAGAAGGGAGCGATTCGACGAAGTCCTCGGCTCCATTCGGCTCGTCCCAAGCGGGAGCAGATGGACATGGAGCCCGAACCACTAAAAGTTAAACTTTTAGCACGGGAGCAGAAAGCATCCGAGCAAAAGAAGGAACGGGCTTGAGGCCCAGCAAGGTCTGGAATGGATGACGGACATGAAGCCCCAAAAGTCACTTTCTGCCATTTGCTGAAGACAAACTTTTTCATTATTCCCTGGTTTAAAGGGAATCTATGAATCCATCACTACTGGAACTTAATTAAGCAAATGGAAGCTTTGCTTTGAAGGAACGGGCTTGAGGCCCAGCAACGAGGTCTGGAATCGTGGGATGCATGTCGCTGGCAAGAGTGTGGAGAAGCACTGTGATCCCTGCTGCGCCGAAAGCTGGCGCGCAAAGGTTGATTCCGTGAAGTTGTCAGTGTATTCGTTGGAAATTGTCCCCCCGTGGTCGGCCGTTCCGCCATGTTCCGCCCAGGAAATCTTGTTTAAACTGGCGCGGTTAGAGCCTGGGAAGAGGGTTTGCTTTTTTTGCTGGCCAAGATGCACGCCCATCAGGCCACAATTAGGCAAAAAAGCTCGGCCTCTCCTATGTCACAGGCGAAATCCCCAAGGGGTGGTTCTTTCGTCGTGGCTTCTTCCTTTTAGATCCTTTTGGGGCTGTTTCCTCCTTTCCCTGACCTTGTCAGATCTCAGGATTCGCCAAAATACGCCAAGCCGTGTCATTGTTGTTGGCTGAGACTTGTGGCAAAACGGCTAAGGCGCGACCGTGACATCCCCTTCGACGAGGCTTGCATGCTGGCTTTTGCCGGCCGATCAACTTGTCCCGGTTTAGTGCACTCAAACTGGTGCGTCTACGCATGTTAGAACAAATGTTTATGTGTAGTCGTAGTCTTATGTGCGCGTGACACACATCACGCTACGCCTTTTGAGGTGCTGTTTGCATTGAGTTGAGAAGCGAAGGATAGATTGGGGGTTTCAAAAGCCACGCGGGATGCTCAGGGGCTTACCTCACTCCACCGCAACGGAATCTGTTTTCCTGGCTCACACAGGGATAATTGATGACACTGCTCTATCTGCTGCGCGGTCCACCAATTGAGCTTGTGAATGTAGAGAATCCTGGGAGGGAAAGCCACGCACATCGTTTAGCATGCTCGGCGGTGCTGCTGGAGGTGACCTACAACTTTGCCATGTACGGCATTCTGCTGCACCCACGGCAAGTGGACGAACTCTCTCGGGAG